TGCATCGTTTTAACAAAATACAGTTAAAGCAACATTATTTCAGAAAAGTTTTCAGGCGGGATAAGATCCCTTATCCTTGAATTATGATTTATTCCTGGTTTAAGAGTACCCAAGGGGACACTTGTTAAGTAAGGAAAATTTCCATGTTGTTTCAGCCACCACTATCACCTTGGAGTTTGACTTTTGTCTCTTCAGGCATTTGGTGAGCTGGAGCTGTCCTGCAGCTTAGACTTCATTGTAAACATTTCCCTTATCTCCCTCGCTACAGCTTTGACTCTGCTCCTCCTGGAGACACAGCTAAGCAGCCAAGTGTGTGTGTGGGGGGGCAGATACATGCAGCCATTGGGCACTTTAAAAGGCCAAAAAGTGCCTCTCTGCACATCTGCATGGAAAACTAGCCTGAAACATCAATACAGTGTTCAAGGATGGCACCTGCAGGACCTTTGAGTGTTTGACAACCAGCTGTTTAATTATGAGGCCAAATCTGCTTAGTGGCACAATTGTTCCTCTGCAAGAATTGCTCATACAATTTATCTTAACATCGCAGTTTTGTGCTGTTTTTCACACTGAGCAATGAGATAATTCCTCAACAACCTGTTCTCTCTGTATGTTAAAGCAGAAGGAGTTGGAAGCTCTGGTTTCGGTTCCTCCAGGACAGCATTCTGGATAAAAAAACAACCTTAAAATAGACAAATGTCCCTCCGCAAATAAAATGAAGCCAAGATCTTCAGTTATACAGGGCATGTTTTTCCTCATAAGAAGCCATTCTTAGTGTAAAAAATCTGTAAGGATGTCAGTGGGCTACAGCAGACACCACCACTGTATTTCACAATGCTGTCTTACTGAGACAAAGCTACTCTTCCTAGCCATACACATACATGCATGTGCAAAATGCCAGAGGCAAACTGTACAGTGGGATCTTGCATATGTCGTGTGTGTGTGTGTACATTCGCCAGCAGCTGCAGTAGTTAAGACATCCGTAGGCGAATTCCCTGATCTGGATGAGCTAAAGTGAAGACGACACAACCTCATTTTCTCTCTTCCTCTCTATAAATTCATATTCTGTTGCAGTGTCGACTGCTCTCTGTCCGTCTTTGTCTTTTTCAAACACACGCACACACACAGCTCAAACACCAAGTCAAGCACAAATGCTCAACCACTAATCCGTAAGCTAATTCGTCCAAATGCTTTCTACGAGCTTTGGCTGGAGCAGAATGGGCCGTTCAGTCTCGCTAAACCAGAATATCTAATCTTCTTGGGTGTAACTGTAGATTCCGAAAATGCACTGTGAGGTTTAAGTTCATTGCTCACATCAGTGCCACTTTATTCACCCAAATTGACGTCCAACAGGCTAAAATGGTTTCTTATTTATCACACAACGAATGCTGCAGACGGCAGCTCGTTGAATGTAAATGCTGCATGTATGCATGGGAGCATTTATCTGCATCACTGGTTTCTGTTGTAATGGTTGTAAAGTGGAAACACCTGAAACCAAGAAGCATGCAAATAATGAGCAATGATGTAACACAGACTGCTGCTGCTGGATCAAATGGGACCTCCTATTTTCAAAAGTTACATTTTAGGGGTTATTATCCAAAAGGTTTGTTAATGGCTTCAGTTATTTCTCTCAAAGATTATGCGGTCTGTGGCTGGTAATCAAACTACATTTTAATCTGGTTTGCTTTTCACAACAAAAACAGTTTGTTCATGCAAACTGCAAAATGAAAATGTTAACCATTGTCGCCTGCAAATGAAATCCATTACCGGAGCTAACATCAAACCACTTGGAGGAATTCAGGGCAGTGACCATGAGAAGTTAATAGAAGGTGTGACACCAGAAAGTATGCAAAGAGTCACTCTCTGTTAGTCATCAGTGAATACTGACGATGAAAACAATATGTACTTCACTGTTTTTTTTTGTGTGACTTAAACATAATTAACAGCACAATTGACAATGTACAGGGCTAAAAGTTAAATGCACCCGGGATAAAACTTTCCATGACATGCCATTGAGAGAATGAGGTGTGGTGGGAATTAAACTGTTTACATCATCGTGTTCTTCTTTTCCATCACACCCAGTTTGTGTATGCGTGTGTGTGTGTGTGTGTGTGTGTGTGTGTGTGTGTGTATTAGATAGTATGTGGGATCATGTGTGCTAAATGCAGCCTTGTCTGAATGTCATCACTGTAGTTCTATACTGTAGTTGCCACACTGTTAACAGACGGAGCATGGTGAAACGTCGAAGGTCTTTACTACTTATATGATTAGTGTGTGTGAGGACATGCTACAGTTCCCAGTTGCACATTTATATTTCAGTAACACAATTTGTAATACAGTTCTTTCATTAACCATTTAAAATACCCTTAAGTGACAGACAGCTGAATGAATAAGCCCTTTTGATTTTCACTGTTTAAAAAGAAATATAAACCTGTTGTCAGGTGTGGTCTTGGACTTGTGTCAGCATCCCAGCAACACAAACAATGTCATAAACACACACACACACACACACACCCACCCACCCACACACACACACACACACACACACACACACACACACACACCACTTACACACATCACTGCCAGGCAATGGAAATCTATCTGTCATTGGAAGTAAGTTATGTAAATAAAAAATTAACTAGAGAAGAATTATATGACCTGTTGTTATTCTAAGTATTACATTTTTGAATGTTTTAATTTAGTTTGCATGTATGCAATTTACATGAGACACTAATTTAAAACACTTTCAAATGCTGCTGAAAGTCTTTTTCAGTCCTCTATTTGAAGAAGGGGTTTATAGGCACAGTGAACACTCTTGATTGAATCTTTAACATAATCTTCATACAGTAAAAACAGCCAAGTCTGCTTTGTTCCGCCAGTTACAGCAGCAACAGATTACCTAAAATGGCCACATTACCCAAGGAGAGGCTGGCACACATATCCCCTCCATAAACACAGATAGAGCAACAAAGGAACATTTAAATGCTGCATTAGCAATGTGCACATGGTGCAATCGGAAATTAAGGTTATGCAAACGATACCCTGCAGTGCATATTGCCACCACTGTGAGTTCACTGGAGGCCTGTGGAGCTGAATAAGCCCGACTGAAAAACAATACATCATCGACTATTTGTAATTATGGATGATGCAATATGATGACATTTTTGAATTCAGGAACATACTGACAAATTACAGTGACCATGATGCTCAGATATCTTGTTTCCTTCTTTTCCCACGAGAGAGAAGAACGACGCAGACAAATTCACAGAACAGACAATTTTAAAGGAACCATTCATTCCATATTTTGAAGCCCTTCATTTTGTGACTTTAGAGAAACATCCTTTTGAAGAACACTACCAGTTCCAGAGAAGGTTAAAATCACATCACATTATGTGCCTGCGTACATTTGGCACACCAGTTCTATTGTGACGAGGGTGGACTTCGTCAGAAAGACAGACAGAGGGAGAAGAACTTTGTGCCAGCCAGCCAGTTCAACCGATTAGCTGAAAAACCTCTGGCTTACTCAATAAAACTGTGTGTTGAGTAAATAATGAATTGTGTAAAAATCCTTTTCAAGTCTTTGTAAGTTATGTGAGATGTCAGGAACCCAGAAAATACTTTAACCCTCTTTGTTTTGTAAATGTGGTGGGTGAGTACGGCAATCACATCCAGTTTCTTTCTAAACTTATCAAATGAATAGCTTTATTTTAATCTTTATTTTCAGATTTCCCTTTATAAATTACATAGTTAAACCAATACAGTGCCCTTTTAGTTCGAAGAAAATAAAACACTCATTAACAATTCTTATCAACCAGTTATGATGTGATAAGATAAGCTCTTATCTTAGGAGTACACAACAATAATCAGGTCAAAGTATTAAGGTAACGGCATGCTGTCTCAGCAGAGATAGTTATCGGCATTAGAACAGCAATGACAGCAACGTTTTCTACATTTTTTAGAGTCATCTCCTCCACGTGGCATTTCTGAGGCCTCTTCTTCCCTGAAGACAAACATATCTTTTGATAAAAGGTGTTGAACTTGTTCACAATGGTGGTAGAGAATATGGTCCTGATCAACCAGACCACTGAAACCGCACTGAACTGTGCTGTAGCGACACACCCGGCTGCCAGAGCCTTGCATCACAATAAATCCATTTGCACAATCATGCAATCAGAGTCAACCGTAATTGCATGCAGCGCAGCAGTGTGTGTGTGTGTGTGTGTGTGTGTGTGTGTGTGTGTGTGTGGGTGTTCTGGCATGGTACACAGTCAGGAGGTCAGGGGGTGCAGGGACAACAGAGAACAGGTGATCTAGTGGTGGTGTGATATGAAGTCATTTTTGTCTCAATGCATAGAGCATCTCAGGTATGGGGGTGGAGTTGAACTGTCCCACCACCTGCACCTGTTTCAGTTGCTCGTCACATGCCTGCAAGAAAGGACATTTCCAAGAATATTATTATTACAGCTGCAGAATAACTTCTTCTGAGCCTATCAACAATTGTGATAATCACTGTTAATGTCATATATCAGGTAAAAATACCAAAATATTGCTGTTTTTCTTTGTTTTTAAATTAAAAAAAAAACCTCTTACTATCAGCTGAAACAAGCAATTTTGAAAACATCACTTTTGGCTACTTGATAGATTAATCACTAATGAAAATAAATGTCTACATTTGCAGTTGAATATGTAATGTTTCTTTGGTTTGTGGATTAAGGGATATAAACTAGTAGTTTCCACATGGCAGCTGCTTAGAAGCTCTGTAGCGTACATATATTTGTGCCAACAATATATATTAATTAATAAAAAAATTTTTACACACTTTTCTATCACATCATTGACCAAAAAAAAAAACTACAACAAGCGTTACTCAATTCCTTAACACGTCTCTTCCGCTTCCTGGTCGCTCGGCGATGGCTCGGGTTCGTCTCCTCCGCGGAGCGATCTGATTGGCTGTCCGCCGTCATGCGAGCGGCGTCACGCAGCCATTGCCTCCCTCCGACGTCGCCGAGTCCAGTCTGGTCCAGCTACAGTCGGAACCCGCTCGGAGTGGTACAGAGGAGCGGAGCAGCGACCACAACTCTCTGTTAAACCTGTGTCACACTAACCCAGAGGACGGATTCCTCCTCGGACGTAAGGACCAGGTGAGTTATACATCCGCCATTGGCCACCAGTGGTTGTTATTATTGTTGTTAGATCTTGTTTCAGACTGTTGAATTCCAGCCGGGACTTTTTTTTTTTTCTCCTCCTCCCCGCCGCCTCTCTACAGAACCTGCGAGCTAGCAGCTTTCTGCTATCCAGCTAATTCTGGCTGTCAAAACAACAAGAGAGAAGCATAATCTGCTAGCCGACAGCGCAGCTTTGCTCTCTCTTTGACGAGACAGTGTCACTCGCATGGAGGCAGTGTTTTGGGATGTTTAAAAATAAGATAAAAAGGTTGGATGTGGTGAGCTGTCAGAATAAATACAAGCGTTGTTCAAGAGTTATCTGGTTTCTAAAGGGGGGGGGGGGGTTAGCAGCAGCCCGACTAGCCAGCTCGCTAGCTCGGTGTAAACAAACCCTCATCATAGTCTGTCGATGAGCTGCAGTCCTGTTTGTTTATTTTATTCACCGTTCACAACACAGCGTTGGGTCATATGCAAGGTGAAACGTGTTTTGCAACAGCTTGAGGTCAGACAGATAAAAAACGCTCCTTTGTGTGTGTGTGTGTGTGTGTGTGTGTGTGTGTGTGTGTGTGTGTGTGTGTGAGGTTGCTTGTGTTTTTTGGAGGTACACGTTACGAATAATCGCTGTCAACAAGAAGGTAGTCTGCCTGGAGTTTATAGGTTTCTTTGTCTTGCTTGCTCGCCAGTGTTGTGTTGGCTCCTCTATACTCTCTCTCTCCCCTCTCTCTCTCTCTCTCTCTCTCTCTGTGTGTCTGTGTGTGTGTGTGTGTGTGTGTGTGTGTGTGTGTGTGTGTGTGTGAGACTTCAGAGCATTGTTTGCTGCTACTATTGCGCACTTCAATTTGTTTCTGTTCTGTATGTGGTGTGGTTGAGAGAGCCTTGATGATCTTATTAAAAAAACAAGATGCAAGCAGCAGCTGTAAAGGCTAATTTCATTATCAGCTGACAGTCCTGGTTTGGCTCAGATAGTTGGGTTTTTTGGGGTATCTAGCTATGTTGTGTTTTCAGATTCAGTCTGTAGTGCTTTCTGAAGAACCTACCCTTTAGACAATGCAGTAATTATTTCATAAATAAAGTATGTTTCTATGAAAGCTAGTATACGTTCATTTTCTGTTGTTGAACCTCAAAGATCTGAAGACCTGATCAGTCTGTCTGCTTTATGTAAGTCTGTGAGTACTTACTATATTTCACACAGTAAACAATTCATTTTATTGAGTTTTGTTGAACAGTTGCTTTGAGAATAAGTAAACATTTCTATTATTAACCAGCCAATATTCACTTTTTTTACCAAATAAATATGATGCTTTTTTTGCAAACACGGCTGCTGATAGTTGTTTGATATTATTGGAAAAACTCAGCAGCTGTAGTCAAAATCTACATGACTGCTGAAGAGTAAAATTCTCATTGTTTTGCTGCTGAACATTAATCTTTACTTGTACTGAATGCACATACAGTACTGCATGTGTGCCCATCCCATTTCACTCTTCTTCTGACTGGTTGGTTTGCCACAAAGTATGAGGTCATTTCATAAATATTTTATGGGCTGGGTAGCTGATAGCCTATTTGTCTTGAATCCAAACTTTCTATGTACAAAAACAGTCCCAGCCGTCCCCCAGCTTGAGATTAGCCCATGGATATTTCATGGAGCTGCGTCTTAGCTGGTATTTGTGTTGAAACCCATTTTGCAATTTTAATCAGGGCCTTCATGTGCAGTTTGACCCTTGTGGGGCTTCATAGTGTCATCACTTCCAAGCTCCTATGCAACTTAATAGCATCAGGAAGAAATGCAACACAATTACACACCCATGCTGTTATTCTTAAATTGCATTTGTGCATATCGGTGTATTTCCATGCCAATGGCCACATAAGGATGCAAAAGATTCATGCATCATCTTTATGTATTGCATAAGAAAAATAGAAATCAAGTAGAAAGATTAAGTTCTGCACAAGGCAAAGTACCCACAGTACCACAGGAAGTTTACCACATGGAGTACTTTTATCTGAGATTCATCTAATCAGAAAATATGCAGTAAGTTCCTGTTGGAAGATATTGATTTGCAATTATACAAAGAATGAACTCAGAGCTTACACCGCTTGAGCTGATGTTTGCATGAGTCTCACCCTGCTAGGCATGGCTACTGAGCAATACGTCATATTTTTTTACTGGAAGTACAACTCTCTAGAGAATTTAATGTATAATGAAGTCAGTCTTTTGACAGTGTGCCAGGCAGGAGAGCAGCCAAACATAGCTTCTAAGAATAGTAGAGAACTGTCAGTGCAAAATTGATTGATCATAAGACAGAGTAGCAGCCTCTCTCTTTCTTTTATATTCCTCTTCTTGTCTCTGTCTGTGTTTTCTTTTCCTTCCCTGACAACAAAAAACATCTCTGTGTGTATGTGCGTTGTACCAAACAACAAGAAAAAAAACACGCCTTTATCTTAAATGGTTCACGTTGTTATGTTGTTGCCTAAGTGAACATGTACACGCAACAGTATTCGCAATACGCCCAGCTAAATAAGCCTGTCGCTGGTTAATTACTTTGTCCAGAGGCACAGGAAGTTTCTTCTTCCTTAGCAGAAAGAATATGTTTGTTTCTGTGTGTGAGAGATGCATGCTGGCTCCGGCAGCTTTTGTACATGCATGTTGGTCTGAAAATACGTGGTAGTAGATTTGTGAGTGGAAAGGCAAACATGGGTGTGTATTCATTTCTATTATCAAGTTCGTCCGAAACTTAAAGTCGAACAGGATTTCCTCCCTGTACCCACATCCCAACAATAGGGAATTCTTCCTGGGAAAACACAGGAGCGATGCCACTCAAAAAGACTTTTAATAGTCAATCTATCTTTATTAGAGGCATCAACCCAATTTCCTACCTTGGTCAAAAGCTGAGAGAAAACTTACATTCAGGCAATTTGTCACTAATGTGAATAAAAACAAGTCTAGTGACCCCTGCTTAAAGCTGAATCATAGAGTTGGCTAACAATATATTCTATGGTTTTGACCCCTTAGTGTTTTATTCAGCCTGTCTCATGTTGCAGAGTCAGAAGGCACCGATATCTTAATATAGTTAGTAGCTTTAGGTTCCCTTTTCATCAGAACATTAAGGGGGCCTATTTTTATCTTTGTGTGACCCACCTTTGGATTACCACCCAGTGCTTGAAAACCACTGCATTTGGTTGCACCAGCAGAGCAAACAGCGCACTGACCTTGTTGTGGTCTGTATCTGCCCTGTGTTCAGATTTCGAGACAAAGAGCACTGTTTTTAAATATCTTTGGGTGGCAATTTGGACAAGAATGAACCAGTGTTAGCGTTAGCCCAGGCTTTGTATAGTGTGGGTCCAGGAACATTTCCCAGGACAATTTGATATGTTCAGGGATTCTCTGCTTTAGTTAAGTGGGGTTACTTTAGAGAGTCAAACTCAGCAACTATATCAGATTGATTTTTTTAGCCTAACACCCACAACTTGTGTAGAGATGGGATTTGATATAACTAGCAGGCAGTGCCAGTCTGTTATGTTTGTTTTATTGTGGCTTTTTCTGTGCACATGGATCTATATGACATTGTGTCTGTAGAAAGGTGAGTGAGATTATGTGAGCACTTTTCTCTCCTGGAGGTGAAATCAGGTCATTTGTTGGTGGACATGTTTGCGGCTCTTGCAATTCTCAATGAATTCCACTTTTTCGAATAATACCTTCGATTTTGGGCCGAGCCACTGCTTAAAAAAAGGGGGCTAACAAGGTGAAAGGTCTAGATGGCCTGTTAGACTGTTTGTGTGGATGTTTGAGACTGTTTGACAGAGGGACTAGTGGCATTTAAAAAGGATGTGACAGATTGGTCCGAACCGTTGACTATGACAAATTGGCCCATCTTCTCTGGCAAAGGACACCTGAATGTCACCTAACATATGTTGAGTGTGTGTAATCTGCCATCCTGTTTTGCTTCTAAAGAAATTGGGAATGTTTTAGGAACAGGATGGTGCGGAGACATTAATCCCGTTACACACCTATGGAAAATGATTATGCTAAAATATTTCCACCCTCCATCATGCCTGTCAAGCGTGTGTATTTTCAGTAGTAAAGTGTGCTGCGTAGCGGCCTGCTTGTGTACACACTGTGAATGAGAGAACAAGGGTGTGTGGTTCACTTCACACTGGTTCTCTTTGTTTATCTCTTCATCATAAGACTGCTGGCAGGCACATCAGTAACTCACTGCTGTACCAAGACCGAGAGGTCACCAGGGGACACACACTTGCACAGACAACCAAGATATGACATGTTACAGGAATACAACCCTAATATTAAAATTCTAGATTATTTTCTTGATATTATTTTGTTTGTATTATTCCCATCAGTTGGTCAATGTGGGTAAAATAGAGTTTCATATAGAAAAACATGCAAAATTGGCTTGCAAATAGTCTGACGTCTCTATCATCAATTATCTGAAGAAGCGAACCCCACCCATGCAAAGCTGCAAGGTTGAAGCAAACTCTTTTCTAACACAATTATTTGCACCGACTAGCTTTTAGGTCTAGCTGCATGGAGACAGAGAATCAAAGGTGTGTCTTCAGTAATATCATGGTTGGATGGGCGTGTATGTGTGTGGTTATGTTTAAGTACAGGTCTCAGTTACGACCACATGGTCCCATTGAACATGTCATGTGGTCTCCAGCAGCAGCTTTAATTGTAAAGCCGTCCTAAATACAAAGGGAGGCCTATTCAACAAGCCCCTGCCACAGGAACACACGCAGCATAAAGTGAACCCCACCACCAAATGAAGAGTTTGACTTAGGTAACTAATCCAGGTTTTTTGTCTGGAAAGAAAATGCGATGTCCAACTCTGCATAATAGTTAATAGATGGCAAAATAGTTACAATTTACCAGCAAGAAGGTCTTGGTTTTCATTTGTTGTCATTGATTGGTGTATGTATGCAAGGTCCTGATTTCTTCACCAGCATTCAGTACTTCATTGAACTCATCA